AATAAGGTACCATGGATTCCTCAATGCCTCTTTCTATATATGAGACCTTTCATATAAATGTGGTGTTGTGATCACACCACATTGGGTTGTTATACCTGCGTGCTCAGGTTTCATGTTATACTGTATGTGTATTTCCCTTCTTTTTTTCCTCAATTTTTGTCATAACTTCCTCTTTATTAAACGTTGTTATCACAGGAGACAAGGCGCAACAATCAGCCACAATAGGTACTGATATACATACAGAAAAGGTCAGAACTCGTAATCCCATGGCAAAGGCAATACACGGTATTTTAACCAATAAAGGTGAACATAATCCTTGTCAACGTGTATGAAATAACCATAACATATCAAGAGCGAGAAGAAGTATAAAGCTCAGAAGAGGGAGAGAGGAAAAGAAAAAGAAAGCATTGGGAGAAACAAGATTCTGCAATAGGCAGAAAGAGGGGGAAGGAAAGTGGGAAAAGAAAAAGAGATTCCATTCTCCTGGGCAGTCCAGGAGCCTCTCAGTTGAATTATAAGAGGGAGGAAAAGGTGGTGAGGTACATCTAAAATAAAAGACCAGGTTTTCTAAAATAAAGACATAGAGTTATGTAAGCATGTTAAATATTCCTTGTTAAAGATATCATAAATGCATCTAATGAGATCTGGGGAAGAGGGTGGCAGGGGCTGTTTCCATTTCAGGGAGATAAGACACCTAGCCGCAGTCAAGACATGATTAGCTACTCTTGTAGAATACTTAGACAGAGCGGGGAAGTGAAGACCTAGAAGACAATGAAGAGGGCCCATAGGCACAGTTGTGTCTAGAAGATCCCCAAGCAAAGACACCACTTGTTTCCAGAAACCACAAATTTGAGGACACTCCCAGAATATGTGGTACAGACGGGAAGATCTGGGGTATGATACCAATGATACAGAGGGATTGATTTACTAAAATAAAATAGGTTGCTCACTTTATAGGGGACGTTTCCCTTAGCTTAGTGAATGTGATGAAAATTCACTTTACAAAGAATACCTAATCATATGCAAGGAAAAGGGGAAAAAAACAGTATATTTGCTTGTGTTTGATTGGATGATGGAAGTCAGCAGCGCTTCATCTTATTCACAAAGCAAAATGAAAGTTCCCTTTCAAAGTGAACAGCCTATTTGATTTTAATAACTCAATCCCAGTATCTTGTATTGATTTTTCTTGTATAGGGTGCAAATGGATATTTTATTGGCATTCCCCAAGACCTCCTCCCAAGACCTCTGAAATCAGCCGTACATTGACTGAAATCAGCCGTACATCGGCTTGCTTCACATGGCTTTGGGTCGGTCAACATGCTCAGCATGTTCGGCCGACCCGAAGTGCAGAAGGAGTTCAACTCAGCCGATCCAACATCGGGATCGGCTGAGCCGAACCTCCGGCAGGCTACTCACTGCTGTTCGGCCTATTCCTATAGATGCCGAACAGCAATGAGTGAACAGCCGAATGCTGCTGCGCGGCATTCGGCTCGGCTGTTCTGCTCGGTTCCCCTGCTGCCGTCAAAAAAGAAAGAAAAAAAAACTCTCCTGGGCGCTCTGGGAGCCTCTCGCTCCTGGCCGCCCAGGAGAGAAACACTGCTTTTTCTTTTTTTTTCTGTATTCTGACACGGAGCGATGTCAGAATAGAAAAAAATAAAAATAGGTTTGCCCATTGGAATGCATTGCTACATTCCTATTGGCTATTTCAATTTGCAATAGCCAATAGTAAACTAGCATTGTACCCACCCTCTGCTGATGGACCTGATGAAGAACTGCAGCAGAGGGCGGGTACAATGCTACCAGCTAGCAATGCATTCCAATGGGATTTTTCTATTTTTTTCTATTCTGACATGGCTCCGTGTCAGATAAAAAAAAAAGAAACAGCAGTGTTTCGCTCCTTAGCAGCCAGGAGTGAGAGACTACCGGAGCGCCAGGGAGAGTTTGCTGTTTGGAGATCAGTGTCCCTGGTTAGCAGGTAACCAGGGATGCTGATTTCTCTGCAAGTGGACGGAGCCAGCCGTACGATCACGGCTGGCTCCGCCCAGCTGTCAGAAGCAGGCTGTCGGCCGGCCAATGGCATATGCGTTCGGCTCGACTGAGCCGCTCGGCCACGTTTAGGAGCTGTACGGGCTATAGTGAATAGCCCGTACAGCACCCCTTCGGTTCCACTGAACCGAAGGGGTCTTGGGGCCGAAGCTAGCCGAAGGATCGGCCGAAGATACGGCTAGATCCTTCGGCAGCTTCGTGAATAGACCCCATAGTGATGCTTAGGAAAATAATCACCTTGGGCAGTAACTAAGAGTTTGTAGATGTCCGAGATCAGTTGTCTGCACTGGGAACCCTGCAGACACATCCACTCAAATGGGGTTAATATAGGAAAAGGTAAAGTGCAGGAAATGGTGCAGGTATAATGCTTAATTTGGAGATAAGTAAATTGGCAATGGGCAGGGAGATTGAATTTTGAACAGAGATACTTTTCTTATGTTTTGTTTTGAAGTAAGTTACCATCTTCCCTCATTCTGTGATGTTGTAGTATGGAGGAACAGTTGGCTCTTACTTAAGAGAACATTAAAAATTGGAACAGATACGACAATGCCCTTCTCCTCTCTAAACTGGAAGATCTGGAAAATAGATCACGCCGCTCAAATATCAGAATAAGAGGGATACCCGAATCTATTCTAGACCTCCCGGCTTTTGTTACGGCACTGCTTCAAGAATTGGCTCCGTCCATACCCCATGAAAGACTGGAGTTCCAACGCATTCACAGAGCCCTGACACGCCGCCAGCCAAATGGCCCACCACGCGACATCATCGCAAAATTTTTATACTTTCGTTCCAAAGAAACCATACTTATAGGGACTGCAGATGACACGCCGCCAGCCAAATGGCCCACCACGCGACATCATCGCAAAATTTTTATACTTTCGTTCCAAAGAAACCGTACTTCAGGAGTCCCGTATCAAACAACCCCTCAACTTCCAGGGACATGAATACCAAATATTTTCAGATCTCGCCCCATCCACCATTGCAAAAAGACGCGAACTGAAACCGGCACTGCTGATCCTTCAACAACATAAAATTCTCTACAGATGGGGCTTCCCCTTTAAATTGTCGTTCTCATACCAAGGGCGCCAACATCACGCTTCTTCGCTCCAAGAGCTAACTGCCATCCTTGAGGAACTCCATCTCTCCCCTGACTCGTCAGACCACCACCAAGCTCCCTCCACTTTGGATGTAATTGCGACATCCTCCCTCAAGAAACAAAGACAAGCACGTTTGAAAACTCTTGAAGACGCATATACGAGACAAACCCAAGCATACACGACACATCCAACCCAACTAAACAGAACATTGTTAGATAAGGCTAGGCGAGATCTAAATTTACTCCTAACTAATATCGCGGACAAAAGCCTACGTAGGACCCAACATAAATTTTACCTTCATGGTAACAAACAGGATTCCTTACTCGCTCGCCGGCTGACGCCAGATCCAGCATTACTAACCCAATCACTCGGCACTCCCTCAGGATATGGGACTCAGTTAAATACTCCAGTGGCCTTCTCTCCCCTCATCTTCCCCTAATGTCAATCATCCGTAACCCAATGTTCCTTCCAGGCTTAGAGTCCCCCTCAGTATTTCATAACTGGACCTTAAATAAGGTGACACGCCTGAATGAACTCACCGATACCAACGGAGTTATCCAATACCCTGATATACAATCTAAATTTAACTTCCCTTCCCGTGAAATATTTAGATATCTTCAAATTAAGCACTTCATCCAAACACAAATAACATTCCCAACAGCCACCCCACGCATGACATCATATGAGAGAGTGTGTAGTCAAGAAATTGGAACAGATTTTCTTAAAGGAGTTGTACGTGGGTGGGGTGAGATTGCTGAGGACAGTGTTGCCCTTAGTGACACCGCTTCTGCAAGCAGTTTGCTCCTAATGGGGATTTATATGCTTCAATGCCTGTGCAAGGACCACAGTATTCAGGCCATCAAAGAGAGGACCACAGTTGGGGGGTCACTCTATTAGAGAAGGATAACATGGATATTCTACTGCCACCATCTCAGAGGAAGCCCAAAAAGCAGCATTTCCAGCAGGTGCTGTGTAAAAACCTCTTTGCTGCATTTCTTGATGGTGGTAGGATCCCTTCTGATGACCAACATAGCTCCGATCCTATGATCCCTGAAAGGGGAAGCAATGGTGGTGCTGGCTGCCTCAGTGACACTTTTCCAAGTTTTTTCTTAACCACAGTGGTCAGGTCTCACTGCAGGAAGCACTCTGCAGACACTCTGCACACATGCAGCTCCTTAATCTCACGATTGCTGACTACATCGAGTCTAGGGCTGATGAAAATGCAGGGGGGAAATCCTATAAGCAGGAGTAAGGCAGACAAAAGCAAAAATAAAGTGTATCCTACCTGCCGCCCACCCTCTTCCAATTTAGGATTGTCAAAAAATACCAGCCTCCTGATATTTTGACTAACATTTATTCAGTCATGCAACACTGTACCAACATTTGATATAATTTTTTGGGACAGTTAGAGCTTTCTTTTTGTGAACCTTATTCCTAATAGATACATTAGCACTCATTTTACAGCATAAGAGTACACAGAAAAAAGAATACCTGCAGCTCCTTTAGAGTCCAGTCATAGGTTGGGCTGGATCCTGGACTGCAATGTAGCTCCAATATCTGCTTTGGATTACAAGACTGTATGAGCAGAATTCAAAATCTCTGGCGGATAAAACAGTTCACATATTACATTGTGCATTTAGCTTTTTGTATGAAACAGATTAAAGTGTAACTGCATTTTCAGTACAGTTACACTTTATTTTGTAATGCAACCTGCCCAGTCTTATACTCCTCTGAAGAGAATCTGAAGAGATCTTGAGTGTGTGACCTCCTTTAAAGATTGTTTTATTTAAAAAAAAATTAAAGTACCGAGCATTGTTGCCATTTTCTTTTCTTTATATGTTTCATCCTGTTTTGCAGGACCTGCTTAAGAGGTGTCATTCAGCAGAAGCCTCCTATCTCTTCCAGCAAGATAAATTCTATGATGTTCGATATGACACAGGAGACAAATCCATTCAGTGCAGTAGGCGTGCAGATGCATTCAAATTCTGGTTGATGTGGAAAGCTTTGGGGACCATAAGACTTGAAGAGCGAGTGAACCGTGCCCTAGCATTATCAAGGTAAGACAATAACATAGCCCTAGAACATATGCTAAAGTTTGCATGTTTTAATTGTTTAAATTACTCTTTTCAAAGCCACTATATAGCACTGATCTGTGGTCACTTGGTGTTACTACTGTTTTAAGTTTCTAATGCAAAAGAAAAAGATTTTCTAAAATTAGTTTGTTAAAGGGTCAGAATGAGGTCCAGTGCAGGTCAAATGCACCTGTCAATAAATTATGAATGATCTCAGAAACATCTCAGACTGATATTAAACTGATGCTATCGACACAAGCCCTAAAGCCTGTCAACACAGGTCCTCACTGGCAGAGAAGATGCTGCCTTCATATAGCATGTATCATATTTCTCTATTACTGTTTGTATCACAGAATATTAAAATAAATTAGATGGTTAAACTGTTTTAATTTAAATGCAGGTCAAATTAGGTGAATGAACAATAATTTAATACTTTGTTTTATGCAGTCTAGCTATAAATGTTCCCTGTATCTTCTAAGAAGTAACCGAATTTTGGTATTAGTCATTAACATTGTGCAAGCAATGTATTGTACTTTAATAATACATGTCAAATGCAGACTTGAAGCCATCCAAGTATACCTAGACAATGTAATAATGGTATTGACAGAAGAAATGACTGGGAGATTTCCCACTGTTTTATAATACAGAATTGCAGTCCTGCAGTTTGCTAGAAGTTTAAGACTAACTGTACTCATTCAATTGCTAACAAATAACATGTTGTCACTTTTAATAAAGCGAATTAGAAAGAATGAGCTAGAAGTTAATTTGGCAGTATGACATCTGGATGTTTCACATTGCAGTGTTTTAATTCACATAGATCAACCTTCTGCATGATGGTGCCGAGAAACAAACCTTAAATATAAAGCAGGTGTGCAACAGATAGCAAGCTGGCCAGTGCTGGCCGATATTAAGAGCTATGTTAGGCTGTATGAATAGGTTTGATCTGTTGGGACAAGCATCTGGTTTGATTGTAACAGGGATTGTTCTGTAGTACCTAGTATTACTACTGTTTATTTCTATAGCAACAATATATTGCTCAATGCTGTATTAAACAAGGATCCATTAATCAAGTACATACAAAGTATGTGAAAAGTGACAGAAAGTCATGGGACCATCAATGCAGTCAGTAGTGTAAATGCTGTCTATGTAGAAAGATAAGGCTTTTTAGGTACTTACCTGGGGAAGTGATCTGATGCTTCTTTGGCCCCATAGTTGTCACTTGGTCTGCTTTGGCAATAGCTACTGTATGTTCCTGCTACGGAGTCAACATTATGATAGAACGTCCTCAAGATATAAGAGTGGCTCCCAGTTTACAAATTTACAATCTGTAATATTTTTTCTTGCTTTGTTTCCCTCTTCTGCCCACCTCTGGACATTTATGGTTAAGCAAACTGAGTGCAGCTCAACAAACACAGTCCCTATCTTCTATCTGTTGTTTGTTGGTCTACAGTTAATAATAAGGTGTTAATAAATAGAAGATCATATGTTACCTCCAAAAGCACATTCTAGAATTATAATTGCATGATACAAGAGACAAGAGGTGGTCATTATTCAGGTTTGTCTAGGACACCATGATGTGTAAATATGGTCATATGTCCATGTTTAACCAGTTGACATCCGCGGTGTTAAACCCCCTTCCCATCCAGGCCATTTTTCAGTATTCAGCGCTGCGGTACTTTGACTGAGCATAAGGTATTCTAGAGTGCTGCCTGTTCCATATAGCACGTCACATTTCCCCCCACATCTGTGGCAGTGTGTGTTTGACTTGCCATATAGCATGTCACATTTCCCCCACATCTGTGGCAGTGTGTGTTTGACTTGCAACATTATCCCAATCTAAAATAATTGGGACACAGATATAGAATTATAAACATTTGAGATGCATGGCTTGTTTTCAAAGCCAGGGTCGTACGAATAATCAAATTCCACTATCAACTTGTTATTGTTGCAAATTACCATGGTAAAATAAATAACAATTCACCTAAAGATATACAGATATCAGAAGGAATTTTAAAACAGAGCTTTTACCTAAAACTCTCATTCTTATTACCCATATTAGTATCACTCTTAATATAACCCTAGATTAGTATCATTTTTTCCATTGTAGAATTCTTATAATTAAACATGACATGCTTCCTTATGATACTTTGAGGAAAGAACTTGCCGCATATTTCAGCATAATGCTTATGTGATCTTGAATTATCTACAAGTATAGACATTGGTATTTGTCATGAAGTCATCGATACTCATTCCATACAACACTTGTGTCACATGTTTCACTCACAGAATTAAAATGAGAGATTTCTGGATCAATCTGTCAACTACTAGATTTTATCCACTAATACCACCAAACCCAGTGATCCACCAAAACAGATCTGTCAGCTTTTTGTAATTATTTAACTTTTTACCATTTTTTAAATTAAAATATATAGAAATGTTAAATACAAGTTGGAGGCTAATAACATTAGCCGTGTTTGTGGGAGGAGTCGGAGCCGTTCAGGGCTCTTAAACTCGGAGGGGGAAGGAGGACGCATCCGCAGGTGACTTCTGGCGTACCCTCCCACCCTTCCCCATTATTATTTTCAAAGCTTGAGTACGCCACCTTATTTGGCGTACTGACCTTTAAAAATCATGGCATACCTTAGGTTGTGTGGGGTATGGAGGTCAACATTTCCTAGGTTTGTATCATGTACAAGGGGACACTATGCGGGGCCCGCGAGATTCCGAACACAAATTAAGTTAAATTATACCAGACTGGAGCACCAGGTGTACTCTATAAACTATTATCCCTATAGCTGGAAGCACACAAAGATTCAGACCCTCTGCTTTGCTAATATCTAAATAAAGTGATCTTTGCTGAAGCAAAGATAAATAAATAATATGTGCATATACACCATGGTGCTGAACAGAGGAAAAAGTGTTTGTTTTTCTTCTACCTTTTTCCTTTCACTGTACAGATATACTTTACATTTACTCACTTCCATTCACTCACTTCCATTCACTTTACAGACACAATAGCCATAGCAGCCTTACACGTCTACTACAGGGCCTAGGCTAGAAGGGGGACCTCTGCCTTTGCCTGGATTACTCTTTGCCAGCCACCAGCCTTTGACCTCAGCTCATCCCTGGATAATTCTCTGATTGTATCTACCATCTTCAGACTGTATCTTTGCTTGGTACCTGGGGCTTGCCGATAGCATCACTTGGTCAGAGCATATAGTCTTAGTCCTGGGGGCATCCAAGTACCAGTAGGTGCGTTTGCCTTATGGGAACGGAGGGAGCTATAGGTGAACAACTTGTCTGACTGCATGCATTCACAGCCGGGCCTGACGGTGCTATTATAACTTTTATCCCCAGCACTACAACCTTTTAGTATACTGACTATGCTGAGAGCTCTACTGCTGCCTGTCAATAATATATACTTAATATTAAGATTAATGACACATATTATCACAGTTGACACTGTCAGTAGCTACAGAGAACATTAGCTGGGGGCCCCAAAGTTTTATTATGTGGCAAAATTATTTGTAGGTACACCCTTCCGTGCATGTATAAACATTATGTGGCTCATTTTAACACAGGAAATACATTTAATAAGGAACTAAGTAGTGCAATAGCACATGAAAATTACATACCTGTTTTGTCTCCTATCCTGTTGAAGACACTTAAGCCTGTATGAGCTGATAACATAAAGGAAATCTTTTTTTCTGAGAAAAACATGGCGGCTTCACTTGTTGGCCCCTCATTCTCCACATGTTTGTTTCTTATCTGCCATGTTGACCCTCTGACCCCAATATTTGAGTCACTAACCCAGAACAATATGCAAGTAGGACTTCCAACTTTAATCTGACTTCTTGATATGCACATTTGTCATGGGTCAGCAACTCAGAAAGCAATTAAGCTGTGGGTCAGCATAGTAGCCAGGTAACCAGGCTACTATGCTGTGAGAATAGCAATGGCAGCTCCAATATATATCTCAGGGAAGGTCTTTCTTAATGTCATTGTACTGCTTAGTTATAAAACTGAATCTAGAAGTATCTGTACAAATCAACAAATAAAAAGCATTGAACCTACTTCCTTCACACCAAAGATGGTCATTCGGCAAAAAGAAAAATATAAATGACGAGCTTTATTGCTGCCTACATAATACATTTAAGAGTAGCAAGCAATGAGTTATAATGAAGATGACATGAGTTCATTGATAAGCATTAGCCTCTGTCAAAGATTAAACTAGTTGGTATTAAACAATGCAACATGCCCTTAGTTTTAGCATACTAAACACAATATACTATTTATTTGAGAAGTATATTTAACTGACAAAAAATTCTCTGTGTCATTCCAGCAAAATTGCTCAGATGCATGAACGGTTTAATTAACATATTAGCAGAATGGAGCAAAAGGTGTTATATTTATGTTGACAAGAACTATCTGTGGATTTTAGAATAGTCGACAAGATGTTGTAGGATTATAAAGCTGAGAAAGAGCTACACAAAGGTATTAGGGGTGCCAGAGGCGGCTCTAGAGTTTGCGAGGCCTTAGGCGAAACCTAAACATGAGGCCCCACTCAGGCCTGTGGTGTCTCCCCAGGGTTCTGTGGGGTTTAACCAGTCTGGTGAGACCCCACAGAGCCCTGGGGAGACCCCTAAAGAGCCCTGGTAAACTATGGTTCTGTGGGGTCTCACCAGTCCTGGTTAAACCCCACAGAGCCCTGGTGAGACCCCACAGAGCCCTAGTTAAACCAGGGCTCTGTAGGGTCTCACCAGGACTCTGTAGGGTCTCGCCAGTGCTCTGTAGGGTCTAACCAGCTTGGTTATACCTCACAGAGCCCTGTTGAGATCCCAAAGAATCTCTAGAGGGTCTCACCAGGGCTTTGTAGGGTCCCCACAGGGCTCTGTGGGGTTTAAACAGCCCTGGTGAGACCCCACAGAGCCCTGGTGAGATCCCACAGAGCCCCAGGGCCTGTGGTTAAACCAAGGCTCTGTAGG